ACTTATTTTTCTGGTTTTATGTTTGTATCGCGCCAGGCGATCTATTTGTTTTATTTCGGATGTTTTCTTGGTATAATTTATCTTTATTAGTAAAATGATTTTCCGGGAATTTTGCTTGTGTTTTCCTGTAAATCGGAAGCGCTGTGTGAGCCTGTTGTGCTTATGTAATAATGTACAAAAAATAACAAGAAAAAAATCTATGATCATAAGAGTTTGCAAGATAACATAATTTACTTAATTTATCTAAAAATAAAGTATAAATTAACATATATTGGAACTATAAACGAATAGATCCCTTTATTTTATCAAACATCTGCTCAAATAACGCGAAAACTGGTAATTATTAATTACTTAGCTAAATGTTTCAATAAATAACCTCATTGATAAAAAAAATTTTTTTCTATTATATCTTTTATAAAAGCTTCGTTAAATTTAGTGGATAAAAAAAAGTAAATTCTCTCCTATTAATATTGAACGAATGATTTAATATATATATAACTTACATATATGCGTACTATTTAATTAATAAATAATAGTACTTCAAATCATGAAGAAAAAACTTCGGTCCAAAACGGTCAACTTTCAAAAATGAATTTACGATTTATATGTAACAAACAAACTTCGAACTATTATCAACAAAAATTGGTACCATACTCATATATTAACATTTTAGAAGATAATCAAAATCAAACAATTAGAAATTATACGCTAAATAAATTAGGAAAGCATAAATTTGATGAAAATAATTTTACTGACGATGGTATGTAAAAAATACAAAATTGCAATAAACAAATTTATTATTAATAATAGCAATACTGTATTAACATGAAATTTTATAGTAGATGCTCGTAATAAAAAACTGAAACATAATGAAAATTTACAGCAAGGTATGGTACTATTAGGGATGACAACGGTCGGTCATGGTCGGTCACGGTCAATAACCGCCGGTTATTGCTTAATAACCGACTGACCATGGTTATAACCAACGGTTATGACCGACTGACCGACCGACTGACTAATTAACTTGCTAGTAACCTTTTGAAATATATAAAAAGTTATATTACCCTATAAAAAAAGCTACT